TTCCAGACTGGCATGGGCAGGCATGCATGCCTTCAGATATGCCTTCAGTACTTTCATTCCTTAAAACACCCTTGTTATTACAAGACAGTCAACCACACACTTACACAACCACATCCACAGTCCTACCCACCAGCTGCCAGTGTCCCTCCCAAGGGCCGTATCCAGCCTCTCCTGGCTGCGGGAATGGTTGCATTAGTGAGCTGCTGTGCAACATTTCTGGTAGCGCGACAACATTCATTTTTCAATGCGTACAGCAACATTGGTCATTGCATTCAGGAAATACGCCCTCAGTGACCGTACACCCATACACATATTCACACACCCTCACCCACCCCCCTCACCCACCCCCCTCACCCACCCACCAGCCGCCATTCTCCCAAGGGCCGCGTCTAGCCTTTCCTGGCTGAGGGAATAAGTTGCACCCTGTGACCCGCATTGGTGACCATACACCCATACGCCCATACACCCCATACACATCCACACACCCACCCACACCCACCCCCCCATACACCCATACACCCATACACATCCACACACCCACCCACACCCGCACACCCATACACACACACCCACCCACCAGCTGCCAGTCTCCCAAGAGCCGCATCCAGCCTCTCCTGGCTGTGGGGATGCTTGCATCAGTGCCCATACACCAACACACCCATACATATCCATGCACCCATCCACCCTGTCGGAGAAACAGCTCTGTTAGTCATCTGCCTGCATTCTGATTCTCTTCTTCTTCTCAGTTCCTTCTGAAAGAGTCGGAACTCCCACCTCAAGGGTCCTCTCTGAGTGGTGTGCAACCTAGCTGTGAGTTAAGGTAACAACTCTCCACTATGCGAAAGGATAACAAACGGAAAGCATCAGGGATGTGTGAGAGAGTGACTTTACCTGGCCTGGGCTCGAACCGTGCATTTCTCAATGTGCGGCTCGAGCCTGGGTTGGTTCAATCACATTGGTCGCGTGGATTTCCCCCTTGGTGCTCTCCTACCAACCTCGTGTCAACTTCCCTGGTCCCCCAACTACCTACCCTCGAATATTCATACTCAACATTGCTACACCAGAACTACACCAGAACTACACCTCAACATAACTGGCACCTTATATGCACAACCGTGCATATTCGGTGACAACCCACCCACCAGCTGCCAGTCTCCCAAGAGCCGCATCCAGCCTCTCCTGGCTGTGGGGATGCTTGCATCAGTGCCTAGTACCCACCTGCACCAGTACCCGCCGCACCAGTACCAACCTAAAACTTCTCCTACCCACACACCCACCAGCCGCCAGCCTCCCAAGGGCCGCGTCTAGCCTCTCCTGGCTGTGCAGGGCGGCTGCCACGTGGCCTCCACACGCCTGCACTGCTGCCCCCACGCCTGCTGCCACGTGGCCTCTACATGCCTGCTCTGCAGCCCCCGCCCCTGCTGCCATTGTTGCTGCCCGATCATCTCCCTGCTGTTTCGTCAGTTGCCCCTGCTGTTCCTGTTGCTCTCTTTCCTCCCTTTGCTCCTGTTGCTGCTGATGATGATGCTCATGCGTCTGCTGTTGCTGTCGCTGCTGGTCGCTATGAGAGGGGATTCCTTCGTCTCCTCCTCGACCCTCTCCCCCCCGCGGCTTCTGTTCTTCCCGTCCTTCCTCGCATTCATTCCCCCCTCCTCGGTTCCCACTTCTCTCAACCTCCCCGTCCCCCCTTCCCTCCTCTCCTCTACCCACCCCTGCTTCGCCTCGTCTACCCTCATCCCCACTAAACGACAGTCCCAGTGAAGTTAAATCACCTGAATCCCCCACCATTGCGACAGATTCTTGCTAACCCTAAATCGGCGACATCGACATGTTTACGCCTTTTGCCAACGTCATTATTGCTGCTCCTTACGATCCAGCTCAGAGGAGAGATGATAAAATACGCTCAAATCAACGCACTAGACTCATAACGAACGAAATGCTTATAGCGAGGGAAGAGAAGGTAAACTAAGCGACGACAACAGCACGTTCACGATGAAGGCACAATTCAAATGGAGATGATCCGACGCGACTCGGGCGACGCAGAAGCGACTCAAAACGAATTACAAGAGTAAGGACGGGAGGCCTTATAACGAGGGTGGGCGAGGGAGCGCTAACGGGAATAAGCCTGGCAATGAGCTCTACTGGTCCGCTCCAACGGTAACATCGCGATTCGCGTCGCGAATTCGTGACAGGTGGAGTTTGGCGCGGAGATTCGAGCCTCTGGTACGGTGCAGTGAGACAATTCGTGGTGAAGTGGGTAATTGCGAGGTTGGACTCTTTGAGGTGAGAGGCGTATTCGGCGAAAGAAATCTCAACTCGCGGATTCTGTTACTCACAATGTTCCGCAACGAGTTTTTCGCATTTTTGTCAACACAAGATTCAGGATTCCGCTTTGAGTTCGTTCTGCGACGAGCTGTGTAACAGCAGATATCTAGAACTCTTTTATGAGGCGAAGTTGAGCGAATCAGTTTACTTCGCACACTTTTCGCCCTAACCCCATTTTCGCGAGCTGGGTGGGGGAACGGCGAACGTTGGAAAATAAATTACGTCTACAATTGGTAACCGGAATTCCGTCAGAGCCAACTATTGTGTGCGGTAATAGTTTCGTTTTCTTCTAAAAAAAATACTCAGAATCCCATCATTCCAGCTCCACCCTTCTCCGTACTATTTGTCATTTCACTGATCCTAATCTTCGGTCCTTACCTTACCACCACTAGGTCTAGCCCTAGGTCAGTCGAAGCTAGCGCAGCTGCTTTATTGCCCTAACATTTTGCTAACCAGCTGCTGACCGTCGGCCGTCTGCTATCGTCCTTAGCCGGCAAGCCGTTACTCGGCTAACACCCGAAAATGTCGAGCGATCCAGGGGATTTAGATCGGTGGAGAGAGGTTGAAGCCGTGCTGCAGGAGTTCCAGCAGCACGGGCAGCAGGTCGGGCAGGAATCCGGGCAGGAACAATCCTGGCAGCAGCACGGGCAGGCATACGGGCAGCAACCATACGGGCAGCAGTTTGCGCAGCACCAGGGGCCGCACCCGCATCCGCAAGCGCAAGCGCCGCAGCAGCAACCGCCGTCGCAGCTGCTGCAGCAGCCGCAGATACAGCAGCATCAGCAGCAATCGCAGCCGCAGCTGCAGCAGTCGCAGCAAGCGAGAGACGCTGCGGGGGAAAGCCGTGGAGGATGGGGGGCGGCGGGGGGCGGGGGAAGGGGGAGAGGCGGAGGACGCGGGGATCGGGGGAGAGGCGGGGGGAAGGAGGGGCGGGGGCGGGGCAGGGGGCAGGGGGAATGGGCGAGGGGCGGGGGACAGGTAGACTGGGGGAGGGGCGAGATGGGTGGTGGCAAGGGGGGTAGTGGCAGTATCGGTGGTGGTGGTGGTGGGGGAAGAGGAAGAGGAGGCGGAGGTGGGGGGAGGGGCATGGGAGGGGAAGGAGGCCGGGGGCGGGAAGAAGGGAGGGGAGTGGGTAACGGAGGACTGGCGGCAGCAGCAGCAGCAGTAGAAGCAGCAGAGGCAGCAGCAGCAGCTCTGGCAGGAACTAAAGCGGGAGGAACAAGGGCGGGAGAGACGAGAGGGGGACAGACAAGAGGGGGGAACATCAGAGGGGGAGAGCTGAGAGGGGAAGAGACGAGAGCGGGAGAGGTGGGAGAACCGAGGAGCACAGGGAGTGACTATAGCGAGTTGCTGACAGTGGCACGGCAGCAGCAGCAGCAGGGGTTGCAAGCAGGGGCGGAGGAGGGAGGGGCGGCAGTGGAGGGAGTGTGGGTACCTGGGGGAGGTGACAACTCGACAGGCGGCAACTCGACGGGTGCTAAAGAAGGTAAGCCAAGTTAATGGGCAAAAAAGGCTGGAGGTGAGAGGGGGAGAGGCAAGGTAGGGGCGGCGGTGGACGGAGTGTGGGAGCCTGGGGGAGGTGGCAGCTCGATGGGTGGTAAAGAAGGTAAGCAGAACCAATAGGCAAAGCGGATGAAAGTAGGTGTGGAGGAGATATGGAGAAAGGAGGGGTAGCATTGGTGGGAACGTGGGGTGGGAGCCTGGGGGAGGTGGCAACTGGGCAGGTACCAGTTCGACAGGTGGAGACGATGGTAAGTCAAGTTGATAGGCGAATCGGAGGGAAGTGAGAGGGAGGGACGAGGGAGGGGCAGCAGTGGGGGGAGTTTGGAAGCCTGGGGGAGGTGGCAACTTGACAGGTGCCAGTTCGACAGGTGGAGACGATGGTAAGTCAAGTTGATAGGCGGATGGGAGGGAAGTGAGAGGGAGGAACAAGGGAGGGGCAGCAGTGGGGGGAGTTTGGAAGCCTGGGCTGGGGGAGGTGGCAACTCGACAGGTGGCAACTCGACAGGTGCGTGCATGCATACCTACGATGGTAAGCCGTGTTGAGGGTGAGAAACGAGGGAGGGGCAGCAGTGGAGAGGGTGGGGCAGGGACCTGGGGGAGGTGGCAGGATGTGACGTTGATACCCTCGAACCCTCCCTTTTTCCCTGTCCTTTCCCCCATCCCTCCCCACATTCGTTCCCCACTTCCACCTTTCGCCCCGCCCTCTATCTCCCTGGAGGTGATTTGTTTAGTCAACACTAAGAAATTACTCTCTATGCCACCAGCTTCCCCCCTTCTTCCCCTCGGGCTCTCTGGGCTCTCTGCAACTCTTCCACCACCCATCTGAGTATTCACGAGGCTGTTTTTGAGGCGCCTCAAAAGCAGCCTCACGACCCGTCTAAGTCTTCACCAGCCAGACCAGTTTTCCACCTATTTCCGCTCTCCCTCCGCTCCCTCCCTCCCTCCGCTCCGCCTGCACCCTCTTGGTGACTTTTGAGTCGACTCAAAAGTCACCAGACCAGTTTTCCACCTAATTCCGCTCTCCCTCCCTCCGCTCCGCCTGCACCCTCCCACATCCTCTCGCCCCGCCATGCCACGCCACCCCTCCCCGCGCCACCCCACCAGTTTCCTCCTTGGTCCCCTCAGGCTCGCTGCAATTCCTCCAGGACCCCCTCTGGGCCTTCGCCAAGCCTATGACTACTTTTGAGGCGCCTCAAAAGTTTCCCCCTTGGTCCCATCAGGCTCGCTGCAATTCCTCCAGGACCTCCTCTGGGCCTTCGCCAAGCCTATGTTTCTCCCCCTATCCCTTCTTCCTTCCCCCCCACGCCTCCCCCCCTCCCCTTCCCCTCCTCTCGCCCCGCCTCCAGTCTCCCCTTTCTTCCCCTCAGGCTCGCTGCCTTCTGCTCCACCTATTCCCCCGATTCCTCCCCTTTCCCGCCCCTCTCCCCCTCTGCTTTATCAGCACCGCCCAACCAGTCTCCCCTTTCTTCCCCTCAGGCTCGCTGCCTTCTGCTCCACCTATTCCCCCAATTCCTCCCCTTTCCCGCCCCTCTCCCCCTCTGCTTTATCAACACCGCCCAACCAGTCTCCCCTTTCTTCCCCTCAGGCTCGCTGCAAATCCTCCAAGACCTCCCCTGGCCCTTCGCCAAGCTTTTTATCCTCCCACTATCCCTTCTTCCTTTCCCCCCACAACCCCCCCTCAACTCTTCCCCCCTCCCGCTCTCCCCCTCCCACACCAGATTCCCCCTTTTTCCCTTAAGGATCTCTGTACTTCCTCCAAGGCCCCTTTGGCCCTTCGGGCCAAATCTCCTCCTATTCCCTCTCTCCCTCCTATTCCCTCTCTCCCTCCTATTCCCTCTCTCCCTCCTATTCCCTCTCTCCCTCCTATTCCCTCTCTCCCTCCTATTCCCTCTCTCCCTCCTATTCCCTCTCTCCCTCCTATTCCCTCTCTCCCTCCCTACCTCTTGCCCCCCGGGCGCCCTCTCTTTCCGCCACTAGTCTCTCCTTTCGTCCCATCAGGCTCGCTGCCATTCCTTCTAGACCCCCTCTGGGCTTTCACCACCACACAACATTCCTCCTATTCCCTCCCTCTCAAGCCGTCCTTCATTGATAATATGCAGGGTACAGGCAAAGCAGGCAGGAACCAGCAAGTCTAAACACGCAGGCCAGAAACAACAACAACAACACCACATGACAAGCATGCTAGCTGAGTCGACTCAAAAGAGGTGACTTTTGAGTCGACTCAAAAGTCACCTCTAAACACGCAGGCCAGAAACAACAACACCACCACATGACAAGCATGCTAGCTGGCCAGGGCAGCCAACGGGCCTACCAAGTACCTATTGTCCGTCGCAATTTTTTAGGCGCCTCAAAAGACGATTTGTTGAGGCGCCTAAACAATAGTCTCATGCTAGCTGGCCAGGGCAGCCAACAAACAAGCCAACAAACAGGCCTACCTAGTACCTATTGTCCGTTGCAATAGGACAGCTGCATATGGAGCCCCTATTCAACCCCTCTTACACATCCAGGGCCAGCCCCACCCCAGGTGCAGGTCGTATCTGTTTCCCGAGAATTCTACAAAAACAGACGCATCCAGGGCGGGCCCCAGGTGCAGGTCGTATCTGTTTCTTGAGGACCTGCCAGAGGTCCCATAGGTGGGGTTCCTCCTACCTTTCTGCCACCAGTCTCCCCTTTCTGCCCAGGCCCGCTGCAATTCCTCCAAGAACCAACCCCTCTGGGCCTTCACCAAACCTTTCCCTCCTATTCCATCTATTCCCCCCCACTTTCCCTCCCTCACATTCTACTCTTCCCCCCCCCCGCCACCAGTCTTCCCTTTCTTCCCTTCTGGCTCGCTGCAATTCCTCCAAGTCCCCCTCTCGGCCTTCACCAAGCCATTTCTCCTCCTGTGTCTCCCCCCCCCCCCCCCCCCCCCACCACCACCCCCACTGTGCCTTCTCTCTCTCCCCCACCAGTCTCCCCATTCTTCCCCTCGGGTTCGCTGCAATTCCTCCAAGACCCCCTCTGGGCCTTCACCAAGCCATTTTTCCTCCTGTTCCATCGATTCTCCCCCACTTTCCCTCCCTCACATTCTACTCTTCCCCCCCCCCGCCACCAGTCTCCCCGTTCTTCCCCTCGGGCTCTCTGCAATTCCTGCAAGACCCCCTCTGGGCCTTCACCATGCCTTCTCCTGCTGTTGCTCCAGCGCCCACCTCAACTGCTGCAAATGAGGTGAGATCAGAGCAGATTGAACGATGTGGTGTGGTGTGGTGTGGTGTGGTGTGGTGTGGTGTGGTGTGGTGTGGTGTGGCGTAGTGTGGTGCCTTTGCCAACCTGCGCCTGCAGCCTGTAACCTTTCCTTTTACTTGCTGGAGAAACACCTGCTGGCTGTGCCGCTGTATCTCCAGCAAGTAAAAGGAAAGGTTACTGCATAGGAATACTGCATAGGCATCCCACTTTTCTCATTTTCCCACTATCCCCCTCCCCTCCCTCCCTTCCCACCTCAAATCTCTCCCCAGAGCACCTTTTTCCGAATCAACTCAGAGGCATTGAAGAAGCACCTGCAGGCAGTGCCGCTGCTGGTTAGGGCCCCAAACAATCCCCCTTTACATTCCCTTGTCCCCTTCCTTGTCCCCTACCCCCTCTCTCTCCTTCTCACAGCTCTCCCCAGAGCACCTACTCCAGTCCGACTCCGAGGCATTGGAGAAGCACCTGCAGGCGATGCCGCCGCTGCCACTTAGACATTTCCTTGTTCTCCTCCCTGTCCCTCCAACCCACCTCACAGCCGTCCCCAGAGCATCTCCTCCAGTTCGACTCAGACGCGTTGGAGAAGCACCTGCAGGCTGTGCCGCTGCTCTACTAACCCCCAGTACCCTAATATTCTACACGCGTCTCTCTTCTTGCTTTCCCACCGCACAGCTCTCCCCAGAGGAGCTCCTGCAGTTCGACTCAGAGGCATTGGAGAAACACGAGCAGGCGGTGCCAGTGCTGCCGCCTGGAGAGCATGAAACTCAATATCCTTGTACATTCCCTTAACCCCTTCCCTGTCCCTCCCCCTCTCCCCCCTTCCCCACCGCACAGCTCTCCCCAGAGCACCTCCTGCAGTTCGACTCAGAGGCATTGGAGAAGCACCTGCAGGCGGTGCCGCTGCCGTCGCTGCTGCTGCTTTCCCCTCATGACCAAGCCATCTTCTTTCCGGACGAGGTAACACGCCCCTTGAGTTATGCTGGTGTGCTCGTCATGTCCCTGCTGCTGCTGTCCCCGCACGACCGGGCCACCTTCTTTTTGGACGAGGTAACACTTCGTTCAAGCTGTCAACTGAACATGTTTGGATGATAGTACCGTTCTTGTAAGACATGTAAGCCACATTCTGCACTGACTTCTGCTGCTGCTGCTGCTGCCCTCCCATGACTGGACCACCTTCTTTCCAGACAAGGTAACATGCGGTTCAAGCTGCGTACTGTGTAGCCTACGATTTCTCTGTCCACTCAACATGACACGCGGTTTTGATAGGAAAACAAAAAACAAAATCCTGCTTGGTATCCCAGGGCGGGTGGCTGGTCCGTGAACTCTATGACCCAGATGAGAGAGACTGGGCTGTGCTGCTTCTATCTCCCCAACAGCCTCGCCCAACCTGATGTGCCACCTGACCTGCCTGCTGCGCCACCTGATGTGCTACCCACCTGATGTGCCACCCACCTGATGTGCTGTGCGTGTCCGCGATGGTCTTGTCTGCCACCCTTGCAAAATTCCGAACAACAGGTACAGCAATCACAGCCCGGTCAGGGTATCTCATCTCCTCTCTCCCTCCCACTTGTGGCTGGGCCCCGGGTGCTGTGCCATGGATGAGAGGGTCCGAGGGCAGTCGTTGAATCTTCTCTTTCCCTCCCATCCCCTGACTTTCAACCAGCAGGCACAGCAGCGGTCCCAACCCAGTCAGGATATCTCCTCGTTTCTCTCCCACTGGTGGCTGAACCCTGGGTGTGTTGCCACGACCGGGAGGGACTGGTTGGTGGTTGACTCTCTTCATCTTCTCTACCTTGCACCCCTTGACTTCTTTCCAACAGGCCCAACAGCAGTCTCAACCAAGGCAGGATATCTCCTCCTCTTTTTCCCACTGGTGGCTGGACCCTGGGTGCTATGCCACGGATGAGAGCGACTGGGTGGCGGTTGAGGCGATTCACAGTGGTGCAGAGGAGTTCAGAGCAGTAGGGGACGAGGAGGAGGGTGAGAGTAGAGAAGGAGGGCGTCACTTGGGAAGGCAGCAGGGAGAGGAGAATGAGTTGCAACAGCAGCAGAAGCAGCAGCTTCAAAAGTCCTTCCTCCCTCTGACACCACAGCCTGCAGCAGCCTCTGGACTGGCACCAAGCACACAGGAGGGCACAGCAAAACAGCAGCTAGAACAGCTTGGGGAGCAAGCAGGAAGTAAGAATGATGGGCATGGGTTTGCAGAGGTAGATGGTTTGGATGAGCTGCTGGGAGGGCAGGCAGGGGGCAGCAGCGGTGCAACCAGAGCAGAGAATCTGCAGACGAAGCAGCAAGCAGAAGCAGGGGAGGCAGCCCCTGTGAACACGCATGGGCATGGGCATGTGCGTGGTTTCGCAGGGGAAGATGATCTGGATGAGCTGTTAGGAGGGCAGGCAGGGAGCAGTAGAGGTGCAATTGCAACCAAGGAAGATGTGAAGACAGCAGGTGGTTTGGGTGTGGTCAGTGCAGGTGCTGCACAGGTGAAGCCTGAACTGAAGCCAGCAGCAGCGCCACAGACACCCGCACTGGATGATTTTGATGAGCTGCTAGGAGGGCGGGCAGGAAGCATCAGCAGAATCACAAGTGCAAACACGGGAGAGAGGAAGGCAGCAGGTGGTTCGGGTGTGGCTAAAGTAGGTGCTGCACAGGTGAAGCCTGAACTGAAGGCAGCAGCTCCACCACCGGCACTAGATGATTTTGACGAATGGTTTGATTCTGTTACGTAGTTAGTATCTGGTGGTTTGATGAATTTTTGGATTCTGTTTACGTGGATATCCATAGTGATTTCGTCCATTGCCAAGGAGCATTTCTGGGCTCCCTCCACCGGTAAGGTAGTACAGCAACTTGTAATCTAATAATCCAGAAAAAAACTCTCATACACAGTGTAGTTATTTGAATTTCTGCTTTTTTGTATATATCACAGGCGTCTTGTAACGGGCTCGGCCAAGTCCGTCCCTCCCCTTCCCACACCGACCCCCGACTCAAGCATGTGCATCACGCCTAGCCAACCACCGCCAGTCTCATCGCGTCGCATCCTTCAGATTGCTCATCCTAGATCATTACAGAAATCGCACGGCTATCCTTAATTCTGGAGCGTGAGCCTTTTGATCGCCATACTCTCCTGAGTCTAGCCGTCGATGCAGGTGACACGAGCGCGCACAGGTCAGAATGCGAAACGCCACGTGTACCAGGCCTGCCACGCTGCATGCTCTATCGGTCACACTGTGCGAGATCGATAGCTCAAATCGATCGTTCATAGATCAACTAGGTTCGTCACGCCTCGTGCATGCCAAATACAGATTCACTTTTCAACATACATCCCATCCCATCAAGCCCCAAGCCCCATCAGATTCCATCAAACGCAACGCTGACTCGCACACAGTTCAGTCGGTCTCCACGCCTCGTGCATGCTGTTTCCTTACCCCCTCACGCCTAGCCCGGGATTCTCACGCCTACTACCCCCACCCGAAGCTTGCTTCCCATGCCGCTCTCTCAGAAACCAGCGACTGTATGGCCGTCGATCACGCGGAAGGCGAAATGGCCTTGGATTTACCACATTTTGCGAGAAACTTTGCGAAATCCCGCGAGACGGTAGCACGGCGTCATACGAACAGGTAATACAGCCAGGAGTAACGCGAGGTCACCATCCCACTCGCTCCCTTTTCAACACATCCTGCATCCCTTGGCTCCTCAAGGTAGTTCTCCCTCTCCAGGTAGTTCAGTCTGCCGTTTTCTCCCCGGGACAAAAACCCCTTGCTCTCATCGTGCGCTTATGTTTTTCCTTGTAATTTGTTTGTTTTTTTTTTTTTTTTCCATTTCTACTCTTGCTGCTGCGATCTCTGACGTGCCGTTCTCGCTGCTCAAGCTAGCTTCTGCTGGTTGCTCCTGTTTCCTCTCCTCATTCTAACGCTCGCTGCTGCTTCTTGCTCCATCTCGTTCTCCCTCGGTCTCTTGATTCTCACGGTCGATGCTGCTCAGCCGATACCTAACTGACTGACGCCCATGGGTCGGACGGTGGGAGTGGTGGTGGCGGTAGCAGGGCTGGTAGCAGCTCTGCTTGCCACGTGGCTCACCAGATGGATGCTCGCGGTGGTTCCGAATGATGAATTGCACACCAGCAAGCACATGCAGACTGTATGTTACCGTCATATGCTTCTTGTTGATTCTACACCTGTCATGAGCTTCGTCTAAGCTTCACTTACACTTGAATATTCGACTTATGTCATGTCGTTCCAGCCTTTCAATACTCACCGTCACTGCATCATGCACTAGCTTACGCTCTCTGGTGCAAGAAGCCAAGCCATTAACATCAATCAACCTTGATCCTATTGCCTCTGCAGCTCCCTCAGCTGGCAAATAGCTCTGCGCGAGCACCCAAGCCATTGGAGCATTCATTTATGATCACACCATGCGTTGTTCCAATCCCAACCCAACCTCCTATTGCCTCTTGCCCCTTGCAGCTCCCTCAACTGGCAAACATCTCTGCGCGAGCACCCGAGCCTTTGGTACAAGAAGCCAAGCCTTTGTTGGGCCTTCCTGGTGTAAGTTGAAGCTGTGTTCAATGAATCAAGTGCTATATGATCATGGCTTATAAACATGATAGAAATGTATGTGAACTGTGTGGTTGGCCAGGCTCCGCTCTCACCCTAACATCATAGCTTATACCATACATGATAGCGCATCATCTTCCATGATTTGGTTCATGGCAAGTAACCAATTATGCGTGGCAGAATTACTAAATGACTGACAGCCGATTTTGCCACTACGAGATCTGCCAATCTTGCCACTTCCTTTTCATTTTTTCACATGTCTTTTCGTATAGCATTTGTGTAGCCAGTGCACCATGTGCATTGTTGAAATGAAATCTTGTCGTTGCTCCTGCTCTCCTCCCACTCTTCCCTCCTCCCACTCTGCCCTCCAAGTGCAACTCTCCTCTCAGCCCACAGGCAGTACCACACAACCTGGTGCCAAGACACTCTTATCCTACCTTCAACATGTTTGTTACTCGACCATGGCTCTTCGGCCGCTCTTTATTTTCTTCAGTTTCTGATTCTGCATGCATGTGCCATCTTTCATCCCAGCCCACAGACAGTGCCACCCACCCTGGTGCCAAGACACTCTTGTCTTACCTTCAACATGTTTGTTACTCGATCATGGCTCTTCGGCCTTTCAAGGAGCCGTTATCTTTCCTTCAGCTTATTCGTCACGCGCGCACGGCCTATCATGTTCTGGTGGTACGTGAATGTGGATTCTGTTTATGTCTCTATTGGCAGGGTTGTCGCTTTTCTAGTCTGTTTGAATGTGAGTAGAAAGCCAAACGACCCTTTCAGTGCAGCATTCAACACCTGCAGGAGAGAGCGTATGTTGATTTTCTACTTACAGACATGTAGCTCAGCTGGTGGTGGGTAGAGGTTCCGCTGTTGTGGCACCCCTTGGCTGTGTGCTTCCAAAGCCTTAGTTCTCCCTTGCCGCACACAGGTATATATTGTTTTTGCATTCCTATTGTTCGCACGTCCCTCATGCAAGTGAGCTGCGCACATTGCTCTAGGAGCGACCCTTTTTTTTCCTTGGATCTACACTTTGTTTCTTTGCAGGTTTCCGTTTTCTGCATAGCCGGCGCTACTGTCTGTGCTCTAGCAGGCCTGCACGTCTTTCATTGTATTCGAAACAAGGTCTTCACACTTGAGCCCTTCATCATGAGGCAGACAGTTGAGGAGGTTGAGCCAGAGGGGGCAGGCAACGAGCGAGGGTGGAATGGAGAGGTGGGGAGGAGGAGCAGTGAGGAGGGGAATAGTGAGGTGCATGAGTTGAAGGGTGAGTTGAAGGATGAGTTGAAGAATGTATCAGCTGCCATCTTTGCTGTTGTGGAGAAGGAGAGGGTAGTGGGAGCGCTGGAGCGTGAGTTGGGTGAGCTGAAGTGCCGCTTGCTTAAGGTGGAGAGTGAAAAGGAAGCGGCGGTAAAAGTGGCTGCAGAGCAGGCTGCTGCGGAGAAGGTGGGATCAATGGAGCGTGAGTTGGGTGAACTGAAGAAGCATTTGCTGAAGGTGGAAGGTGAAATGGAAGCCGCGGAGCAGGCAGCTGCGGAGAAGGTGAATGACTTCGCGGGGGCAGTGGAGCGTGAGTTGGGTGAGGTGAAGAAGCATTTGCTGAAGGTGGAGGGTGAACAGGCAGCTACGGTGAAAGTGGCTGCGGAAAAGGCAGATGCAGAGAAGTTGAATGAGTTGGTTGGAGCAGTGGAGCGTGATTTGGGTGAGGTCAAGGGCCGTATGATTAAGGTAGAGGGTGAAAGGGCAGATGCAGAGAAGGTGAATGATTTGGAGCAAGTGACGCGGGAGGGTTTTGCAGCAGTGAAGGGTTTGCAGCAAGTGACCTCTCAAGTCGACGGCCACTCCAAGTCGACCTCATCAGGTCGACCAGGCCCCTGGTCGACCAGCTCCAAATCGACGTCACTCCTGGTCGATCAGCTCCACGTCGATCACCAGTCCTGGTCGACCAGCTCCTCGTCGACCAACGCAGTTGTCAGCCGACCTCCCAAGTCGGCTACCCAAAGTCGGCGTCACGAAGTTGACGTCCAGCTACTCGACGCCCAACTACTTGGCGTCCTGAGTCGAGGTCGACGTCGGCCCTTCCTTCGTCGACCACCGGGTCAGGTCGACCACCAGCAGGTCGACCAGCAGTCCGTCAGCCGACATTCAATGTTGAGGTTGCGTTTGTATGAACGAGATGCTCGTGGCAGGACAAAGATACGCCATTTCTACGTACCGATTTATCTTGTCTCCTCACTCTCTCCGTCGTCATTCCACCTCCCTCTCTTCCTCCGTTTCTTATCTCGCTCTCCCTCGCTTCACCCATATCTGCTCTCGCTCTCTCCTTGTCAGGTGATCGTGAGGGTACGGCCGGCAACAGGGTCTGAGCGGACGGAGAACCCCGGGAAGAACTGTGTTGTGCAGAACAACTCCCGGTCGCTGTTGCTGGTGAACCCGGACGGGGTCAGCGCGGCGGAGCAGTTCACATTCGACCACGTGGCAGGGGAGAGCGCGACGCAGGTGGGCATGGGGATTGGGGCTGTTGGATTGAAGGGTAGGGGAGAGCAAGTCGCAGGCATGGGGATGAGAGAGCAGCGCGTGGGGATGGGCGCTCATGGAAGTGCTATGAGTTTACAGTGGTTGTGTTATCCTTGCTCTGTATTGCGGAGTCAAGCCAACTCTCTCCTCTGACCCTGTGCCCTTTCCCCTGTTGAAGAAGGACCGGTTCGAAGATGGCAGGACTTCCCCTCTTTTTTCAACCCCGGCCACCTCTTGCTGCTCCCCTTCCCCCCTTACCCCTCCCCCTTCCTCCTCCCTCGTCCCGCTCCCCTGTCTCCCCCTGCAGGAGGACCTGTTCGAGAAGGCAGGGAGGCCCATAGTCGAGAACTTTCTTGCTGGTTACAACAGCACAATGTTCACTTTTGGCCAGGTTCGTTGTATCTGCCATGTAACCCGCAGCTTGGGGGGGGGGGGGGGGGCTTCGTTGTATGCAGCATGCAGGATGGCAGTGTTGAGGATCATCGTATCACATATGGCGTATAGCATGGCAGATGTGTGTGTGGCTCCTCGGAGACTGTCTCGCCAAGTACAAGAGCATCATGTTCGTACAAGGCCAGCTCCCCCACCCCCCCCCCCTCCCTCCTCCCCCCCCCCATCTGTGAGTGTGTGGAGGTACATGGTTAGGTTCGCCCTTCCCTGTGGGGGTATATGGTTAGGACGTGGTGAAAGTAGACGATCTATTGTCAGTCAAGATTGATGTGCGGATCGGTTACCCTATTTACTACGCTGTAACTATGCTACAGTACGCGTTTTTGCCAAAATTTCTGTACAATGTGCGAATGCGACTGATCACTGATCGCGGGAGATCTGTCAGTTCTAAAGGGGCGATCATTACAACGTCTCGGGCGCCACGTTTCGCCAATCGATCAGCCCACTTGATTGTGGGGCTCGATATTTGCAGACAATCCTGCGATATTTGCACTTGCACCGCGTCCTTAGGTTCGCCCTCCTGTGGGGGTATATGGTTAGGTTCGCCCTCCTGTGGGGGTATATGGTTAGGTTTGGCCACCCCTCTGTGAGCGTGTCGAGTATATGACCAGGTTCGCCGTTCCCTCTGTGGTGCATGGCATTGGCTTACACCATGTTTGCGGGGTGAACCTAAGAAACCGCAGAAACACCTTTTGCGCCATGCCATCCCATGTTTGTTGTGTGTAGTTTAGTGACCCACCCATCCCTCTTGCCTATTCCCTCTTCCCTGACCCCTGACAACGTCCCCAGCAGTCTTATTCATGCCGTATCCCTTTCCTAGAGCATATCCCAGTTACTTTCCTTCTGCAGGCTCTCTCTCCAATTTTCAGATGTCTCAAATGTCATCCTTCCATATCCCGTCTCAACCCTTTTGCATGCTCTCCCTCCCTCCTCCTGATTACTCTCCTCCCCTCCTCCTTTTGTTTGCCCACTCACTCTTCCTTACGACGCGGCGCTCTTCAGACTGGCAGCGGCAAAACACACACGCTGTTTGGAGCTGAAGTGGACAAGGCTGACATGGACAGATTGCTACGGGATAAGGCTGGCGAAGTGGAGGTCAGGTCGGGATGGGGAATGATTGCGCGAGTCTTCCAGCTGGTCTTCGCGCTGATGAAACAGGTGCGTGCCGTGCTGCGCTGCCTGCCTTTTGCTGCGCTCATGCAGCAGCATGGTTGGGACTATACATGGGCAAACGAGTCGAGTTTTTACTAGACTCGTTTGAAGTACTCGAAAATAACGAGTTTCGAGTTCTGATTTTGGTAAAAAAAGCTCGTGAAAACGAGTCGATTTTTACTCGCGAGTTTAAAAAAACTCGTGAAAAACTCGGCTAGACAGGCGAGTTACCCATAACTCGCGAGTTTTTTTTCACTCACGAGGTTTGTTTTAATCTAGACGAGTTTTAAAAACTCGTGCATCAAATGGTCCACCACGGGGGAGTACAAATGTCTGTTTCTGGGTTGATATGCTGCTGGAGGTGTGGCTCGCTGTTTTGGATGTGTTCCACCACTTAATTGTGAACACTAGTGCAGCTGGCGTGGCGGTGAGTTGCTTTTTTGGAAAGTGAAAGGGGGGAGGAGAGGTGGGGCTGGCTGGGTCGTTTGTGGGTGTTGACGCGTGTGGCAGTTTTCTGGGCACCCTACAACTGTTTTCGTGTGGCTGGGGTTTTAGGTTAGGGTAGTGTTTAACTTCGAGTCGAGTTTTACTTGACTCGGACGAGTTTTTTTAAGGCTCATCCGAGTTTTCAAAAAACTCGACTTTGGGGCCGAGTTTCGAGTCGGCATTTTGACCAAAAAAACTCGACGAGTAAAACTCGACTCGACTTGTCAAAGGGAAGAAACTCGTCAAAACGAGTCCAGTAAAACTCGACTCGCCATTTGCCCATGTATAGTTGGGACTCCTCCTTTCCCCACTTATCTTCCATCCTCCTCATCCGACATCTCTTCCTTCCCTCCTCTTTCCACTTCTCCACCTTCCCACCACCTCTCTCCACCTCTGTTCCTTACCTGCTTCTCTCCCCGCCGCTGTTCCTTCCTTCACTCCTCGCCCCATCCGTCGGCCTTGCCAGGAGGCAAAGCAGAGGGAGCGCGAGCATCTGAGTTTCAACTGCTCATGCTCCTTTGTGGAGATAAGCGGCCAGCAAGTAAATGACTTGCTCGACCCCAAGCGCTGCAACCTGGACGTGAGTTCAGGGCCAGGGTTAGGTTTCAGGCCGCATGTGAGTGCAGGGGATAGGGATGAAGGATGAAGGCGAATGTGAGTAAGGCTACGGTTTTTTTGGAAGTCTGAAGTTTAGGGTGCATGTGATGTGGGTGGCAACCCGCATGTGCGTGCTGCAACCCGCATGTGCGTGCTACAATCTGCATGTGCGAGTGCTATTACCTGCCACGTACGTGCTACATCAGCCTCACCAAGTAACCTGACTCGCTTGGTTGACTAGATTCAGCCCCATGTAGCTCACGCCTCTCATTGCATCGCACACCACACGCCTGATCCCTGACTGACATGTCTGCCCCTTCCCTCGGGCCTCTTAAATCCGTGGAGGCGCCAACAACTCATGTGTGAGAACCTCACCTAGCAGCCTGTGATGTGATGGGTTGCAGGATTTGAACCACACAAGCAGCAGGTCTTCATCGCCTGCTCGTTGCACTAGGTTATCCTTGTAGCTCACACCTCTCATGCCTGTCCCCTCACATTCCTGTCCCCCCCCCTTTCCATCCTCAACCTCAGATTCGAGAGGGTCCTAATGGCACGTGTGTGGAACATCTCGCATTCCTGTTGACACGCCCCTGTTGCTCCTCTTCCTTTCCTCTCAGATTCGAAAGGGTCCCAGCGGTGTGTATGTGGAGAATCTCACCAAGAAGCCAGTCACCTGCCTTGGGCAGGTCATGGAACTGGTTCAACGGGTAAGCTGAGTTGAGCTGAGTTGAAATGGCAACCCGCTCGACTGTACAGAGGTGCCATCCATTTGAGTCGACTCAAATCTCACCAAGCAGCCGGTCACCTGCCTTGGCCAGGTCATGGAACTGGTTAAACGGGTAAGCTGAGTTGAGCTGAGTTGAAATGGCAACCCGCTCGACTGTACAGAGGTGCCATCCATTTGATTCGACTAAAATCTCACCAAGCAGCCACCAATGGCGTTCTTCTCTCAAGCCATGGAGCTTATTCAGCAGGTGAGTTGAGTTGAGGTGAGGTGAGTTGAGCTGGCAGCAGCTTCATCCATGATCGACAGCAACTCGAGTTATGAGTTGGAAAAAGCTTTTGTTCTGTTTCTAAGATGGGTTGTCTAAAACCATATGCTAGCATGAAGGACATTTTTTTGAAGTTAATCTTGGAGTATAGGATTTTGGGGTCGTTAACTGTGTGCTGCTATTGGTGTGCAGGGAGCAAAGAACCGGCGGGTGGTGGGGCTGCTTGTGAGGATTCTCACTGCACCTGTGCGTGTATGCGTGTTCGTATGTGTGCGTGTCTGTGCAGGGAGCAAAGAACCGGAAACAGGCACCGACAAACATGAATCAGAACAGCAGCCGGTCGCACTGTGTGCTCTCCTGTTACATCGAGAGCACGGTGAGTGCAGACGTTGCAGTGCTGGTGCTGGCAGGCTTGAAGGTGCAGAGTGGAACTGTGAGTGCCGCTTGCAACATTGATAGCACGGTGACTGGAGTGTGGTGCTGGCAGGCTTGAAGGTGCAGAGTGGATGTGGAACTGTGAGTGCCGCTTGCAACATTGATAGCACGGTGACTGGAGTTTGGTGCTGGCAGGCTTGAAGGTGCAGAGTGGAACTGTGAGTGCCGCTTGCAACATTGATAGCACGGTGACTGGAGTGTGGTGCTGGCAGGCTTGAAGGTGCAGAGTGGAACTGTGAGTGCCGCTTGCAACATTGATAGCACGGTGACTGGAGTGTGGTGCTGGCAGGCTTGAAGGTGCAGAGGGGACTGTGGAACTGTGAGTGCTGGCAAATAGGAGAGCACGATGAGTGCTGGTGTTGGCAGGTTTGAAGGTGCGGAGTAGAACTGCGAGTGCTTTGCTGCTTGCAACATTGATAGTCACACAACTAATCCGGTAGTTGAGTTCTGCCCCGTGCAATTTCTTACTGAGCTAGGCAACTGGTTGTGGTCCCTTCCCTTGGTCTTGGTGCTGACAACATTGAAGGTGACTGTTGCAGCTTCTCGAAATCAATGTAAGTGTGGCTAACAGGCTTGATGGTGCGGCAGCTGAGTTTATTATGCAGAACTCGTGTCTTGATGGCCGCTTAATGGTGTATGCAGAGGTGTCTTTTTCCAGACTCTGAAGTTCGTGTGCAACGTTGAGTGGAGAGCAATGTGAATGTTGTTAAGCTTGTTAGGAGCGCTGTGAGAAGAGCGCTGTGAGAAGGAAAAAACGTGAATGGCTAAGGAAGCAAGCACTAGTAGAGAGACTCACATGCCCTTCCATTCCATGCCCACGTTCTCTCATGTCTGCAAGACTGCATGTTCAAATGTGCGTGCAACTGTGCTTGGGTGCATGCAACTGCACAAATGTCTGAATGTTCACACATGCGAATGTGCGTGCGCCCCCACCCATGTCTCCTCACCACTAGTGGGAGGTTGCGGGCATCAGCAATCAGCGCTTGAGTCAACTCAACTTAGTTGACCTCGCGGGCTCTGAAAGGTACTCCGTCCCGTCCCCTCTTGCCATTGCCTTTTGAGGCTCTCACAGCATGATGCAACGCTTCTGCTCTCACAACCCGCCCGCACCCTCATTCGCCCTTGCATCATGCAATCATGTCCCCATCACAAGATTACCGCACGAGCGTATAGCAGCGTGCACACAGTTACTGTCACAGCCACCATGCTTCACTAGTACTTGTGCAAGTGTTGCCCTAACTTCCACTCCACAGGCTTGCTCTGATTTGTGCTGCTTGCCATTCACCACATCGTGCCACACTCTCACCACCTGCTGCCTTCACTGCCCACACCCCACACTCACGGTGGAGTGGTTTTATTATTGTCTCACACAACACATCACCTGTCATGCCTTGTGCCGTGTGCTAGTTTCTAGGGATGAGCAAGGTGGCGAACACCTGTTCGGTTCGCCTCGAACGTGTTCGAGGCGAACCGAACAAGTATTTTTTTTTTGGCTTAAAATGTTCGCCGAACAGTGTTCGATGTTCGCCCGAACACGTTCGTGTTCGGGCCGCCGCTGCAATTTGCCCGTGACGAACACGAACACTGTTCGAGGTTCGCCCGAACACGCCTTCACAGGCGAACGGCGAACACCATTTTTTGCTCAAAGTGTTCGCCGAACCGAACTGTGTTCGGTTCGGGAAAAGATGATGTTCGAGCGAACTCGAACCCAAACGTGTTCGAGTTCGCCATTTGCTCATCCCTACTAGTTTCTCATCCACCACCCCCCATCTCGTCCCACTCTGATGCACTGTACCCCTCGACACCCCTCAGCACACCGGTTTCCACCCCTCGTATCACCAGAGATGTATATATTTTATCCTATCATGCTCATCAAACATGTCCCCCTCCCACCCCGCCCCAATCTTGTGCACTGCACCTCTCTCCACCCCTCTCCACCACTTTCCACCCCTGGCAGGCAGAAGTCATCAGGGGCCACTGGAGAGCGGCTCAAGGAGGCGAGCTCCACCAACACGTCCCTCACCCAGCTTGGGTTTGTCGCCTCTCACCCTTGGCTATGTTTATTGAGGCGCCTAAAACCGCCTCTCATCCTTGGCTATCCACGCGCTGCATGTTGATAGTGTGTGCTTTCATACGAATGGTGGTTGAGTCTACTCAAAAACGCATTCTTGCAAACAAGCGCTGGGCGGGTGAAATCATCGTGTACTCGCTACCAGCCAGTGTTCATGGGTCGGCCAACGAGCGCTGTCATCACGATGCTGGTGTACCTGGATCTGAATGTTCAGTGAACTTGAATATTGAAAAGAGATATCACCGTGGCCATGCGTGTTCGTGTGCTGGTCGCAGCACGGTGATCATCGAGCTGGTTGATTTGCTAAAATATCTCTTCTCACGTGTCACCTGGTCGGATGCCTGTATGCCACGGCAGCCACGCCACACTCGTCTGTGTTTGTGTGTTGGTCTTACAGCATTGTCATGAGGGCATTGGTGGAGTCACTGAGGAAGAACAAGCCTGTCTACGTGCCCTACCGCGACTCTTCCCTCACCCTCTTTCTCGAGGTAAATACCGCGCTCCTATGATGCGAAAGACGCTCAGAGGACGCTGCGTCCTGCGTCTGGACGCAGCGTCTGGACGCTAGGACGCAAGACGCGCGTCCAGACGCAGGACGCAGATCGAAATTTTTTCGGGCTGCCCCGATTTTTTTTTGTTTTTTTCGAGATTACGAATTTCAATCTCGCGATTTCGACGCAAGTGTCGAAATCGCGAAATTTTGACCCCCCGTTGCCCAATTCGACACTGAAAAACAGCCCCCCCCCAACATTTCATAACCCCCCATGCAACAATTGAATTCCAAATACCTCTCAACCACTTCACATCTAGAAAACCCAACCAAGGTGCCTACCACCGAGCCCATTTAGCAATCCAACCAAGTCATTTCTCATTTCACCCACCCAACCAATTCTCTTTCGAAAACCCTAGAGGTTTTGGCCTACAAGCATAGCTTAGCTCCATTATGGCTTCCTCAAGCAACCCTACGTCATCTAACGCATCTAGGGATGTTCATGCAGTGCTGTGGTGGTAGTTTAATAGTATGCGTGTTCTTCAGTGATACGATAAACTGTGTATGTGACCTTGGGACATGTGTGTGACAATACGTGACTCACCTGAATCTTGAGATTTGGGGGAAAATTTGATGTTGGGGCCAAGTTTGCCTTGAAAGTGTGGAACGTTCCCCCCCCCCCCCCCCCCCCTCATCCCATGCCCTATAACAAGTTTTTTGCCTGCCCGGGGTTTTTTTTTGCCTGCCCGGGACTGCGTCTTTTGGTGCGTCTTTCTGGTCCTGGTGAAGCGTCTTGCGTCCGGACGCATGCGTCTGGACGCATGCGTCCAGGACGCAGGACGCGTCTTTCGCATCATAGCCGCGCTCCAGCCCTGCTTTCCCTGGTTTCTGCTGAATGAAGAATGGGCAAGGGCGTTTCTCCCTGCCCACATGTTTTGAGACAATGCAACATGTGACTGCTGACGACAACGACTCTGTTTCATGCTTTGCTGACGCCTGTTGATTTTGTGACGACTCAATAGCATAAAATTATAAGTCACACACCTTTCCTGACAAGGTGCCTGCCTGCCCCGGTAGTCCCTCTGCGAGGGCAGCTCCAATGAAACCCAAGCTAGGTTCCGTACGTACGTGTACAGGAAAATCTCTTGGGCGCCTCGGAAATGGAACCCAAGTTTAATACCATACGTGCAATGCGTGGCGTGGCTGCCACTGTAGTCAAAACCACACCCTTTCACCAACCCCCTTTCACCACCCACCACATATGAAGGTCATTTTTTATGCGCTTCAAATAGGGAACTCAAATTAGACACCATGTGTTCATTTCAATGCGTGGCTGCCAGCCAGCCACTGTATACCAACGCCACACTCCTTTCACTTTAAGACTACACCCCCCTCTCTTTCACCACCTACCACGTGTACAGGACTCGCTTGGGGGCAACTCCAAGACCACCATGCTGGCCTGCCTCAGCCCATTCGCACTGTGAGCACCAGGAGGTGTTAGTGGGGCAAACGGGTAGCGGGGCAAGAGGGCAGAGCGGGGCAAGAGGGCAGAGCGGGGCAAGAGGGCAGAGCGGGGCAAGAGGGCAGAGCGGGGCAAGAGGGCAGAGCGGCGCAAGAGGGCAGAGCGGGGCAAGAGGGCAGAACGGGGCAAGAGGGCAGAGCGGGGCAAGAGGGCAGAGCGGGGCAAGAGGGCAGAGCGGGGCAAGAGGGCAGAGCGGGGCAAGAGGGCAGAGCGGGGCAAGAGGGCAGAGCGGGGCAAGGCACCGTGCCTGTGTCTCTATTTGTGCAACTGCGGATGTTATGCCGAGCTCTACTTGCAGCATGTGCTGTGCAGCATGGACTCACCCTCCCCTGTCCCACGCTCTCTACTGCTGCACCGGAGTCACTTTCTGAAAGTAGGTGTGCATGCATGCCCGTGTAATTCGCAGCAGCAGCGTGTCACGCAGGCAGCGTGCATACACTCTTTCACGCCCTGCCCTGAGCTCGGATTGTACTGCTGCATAATGCTCAGAAGTGCAATTGCGTCACATGGCTTTTGAGAAATTTGTGTTGCTGTGCATACGCTCGTCCGCCCTCCCCTGAACTCCGACTGCCGCATCCCCCATTAACATCTCCTTTCTGGGCATTCTTGATGCCTTTCCCCTGTCTTTTTTCATGCCTGACACTTCCCTGCACCATGTCTCTTGTGGCTGCTCTGTAAGTCGCCCAACACACACTTTCTCAGCCAACTCCAACATATCCTCCTCTTGTGTCTTTCCCTTCCCGTTGTTGTGCCTCCTCACGCTCAGGTCATTCCAGGAGTCCCGCAGTACGCTCAAGTTCGCCCAAATGGCGACGCTAATTCGCAATAAGCCGCTAGTGAATGAGGCTGCAAAGGGCAACAAGGACGCTCTTAAGAAGGAAAACGTGCGGCTCAAGGTGATGCGATCCCTTCCCTGCTGCACTCTTCCCCCACAATTTGATGCAACAGTAGCAGGAACAGCAGCAGGAAGCTGTGCGGGTTGCAGCACGCACATGCGGGTTGAGTGCAGCAGGGAAGGGATCGCATCACCTTGAGCCGCACGTTTTCCTTCTTAAGAGCGTCCTTGTTGCCCTTTGCAGCCTCATTCACTAGCGGCTTATTGCGAATTAGCGTCGCCATTTGGGCGAACTTGAGCGTACTGCGGGACTCCTGGAATGACCTGAGCGTGAGGAGGCACAACAACGGGAAGGGAAAGACACAAGAGGAGGATATGTTGGAGCTGGCTGAAAAAGTGTGTGTTGGGCGACTTACAGAGCAGCCACAAGAGACATGGTGCAGGGAAGTGCCAGGCATGAAAAAAGACAGGGGAAAGGCATCAAGAACGCCCAGAGAGGGGATGTTGATGGGGGATGCGGCAGTCGGAGTTCAGGGGAGGGCGGACGAGCGTATGCACAGCAACACAAATTTCTCAAAAGCCATGTGACGCAATTGCACTTCTGAGCATTATGCAGCAGTACAATCCGAGCTCAGGGCAGGGCGTGAAAGAGTGTATGCACGCTGCCTGCGTGACACGCTGGGCACTCAACAACTTCGCTGGGTCACAATGGCGGATCGTTTGCTGGGCTCTCACATTCAACTTGCGCAAGATGTGACCCAGTCTGGAATCGAACCCCGGCGTGTGCCCTTCGGCAAAAAATTGCAAGTTCGAACTCGAACCGCTTTTCACCGTGGCGAAACCTCTCTAAAGGCCGAACTTTGGCCGAACTTCGACCCCGCGGACACACGCCCTAGCGCTTCGCTAGCCGCTCAGTCAAAACAAGAGGGTTCTGTTTCACACGCAGCGGAAACAGTCAGCAGTTCGTGTAAGCCACTTTGTCTTGATGTGCGATTTCCGTCCGGGTCCTTACTTGGATGTTGGAATCATCTGATGCGTCCTCGAGTGCTTTTGAGGCGCCTCAAAGGGCGTTCAAGCCAAGTCAGAGGCTCGAGTGCTTTTGAGGCGCCTCAAAGGGCGTTCAAGCCAAGTCAGAGGCTCGAGTGCTTTTGAGGCGCCTCAAAGGGCGTTCAAGCCAAGTCAGAGGCTCGAGTGCTTTTGAAGCGCCTCAAAGGGCGTTCAAGCCAAGTCAGAGGCTCGAGTGCTTTTGAGGCGTATCAAAGGGCGTTCAAGCCAAGTCAGAGGCTCGAGTGCTTTTGAGGAGCCTCAAAGGGCGTTCAAGCCAAGTCAGAGGCTCGAGTGCTTTTGAGGCGCCTCAAAGGGCGTTCAAGCCAAGTCAGAGGCTCGAGTGCTTTTGAGGCGCCTCAAAGGGCGTTCAAGCCAAGTCAGAGGCTCGAGTGCTTTTGAGGCGCCTCAAAGGGCGTTCAAGCCAAGTCAGAGGCTCGAATGCTTTTGAGGCGCCCCAAAGGGCGTTCAAGCCATGTCAGAGGCTCGAGTGCTTTTGAGGCGCCTCAAAGGGCGTTCAAGCCAAGTCAGAGGCTCGAGTGCTTTTGAGGCGCCTCAAAGGGCGTTCAAGCCAAGTCAGAGGCTCGAGTGCTTTTGAGGCGCCCCAAAGGGCGTTCAAGCCATGTCAGAGCCTCGAGTGCTTTTGAGGAGCCTCAAAGGGCGTTCAAGCCAAGTCAGAGGCTCGAGTGCTTTTGAGGCGCCTCAAAGGGCGTTCAAGCCAAGTCAGAGGCTCGAGTGCTTTTGAGGCGCCTCAAAGGGCGTTCAAGCCAAGTCAGAGGCTCGAGTGCTTTTGAGGCGCCTCAAAGGGCGTTCAAGCCAAGTCAGAGGCTCGAGTGCTTTTGAGGCGCCCCAAAGGGCGTTCAAGCCATGTCAGAGCCTCGAGTGCTTTTGAGGAGCCTCAAAGGGCGTTCAAGCCAAGTCAGAGGCTCGAGTGCTTTTGAGGCGCCTCAAAGGGCGTTCAAGCCAAGTCAGAGGCTCGAGTGCTTTTGAGGCGCCTCAAAGGGCGTTCAAGCCAAGTTAGAGGCTCGAGTGCTTTTGAGGCGCCTCAAAGGGCGTTCAAGCCAAGTCAGAGGCTCGAGTGCTTTTGAGGCGCCTCAAAGGGCGTTCAAGCCAAGTCAGAGGCTCGAATGCTTTTGAGGCGCCCCAAAGGGCGTTCAAGCCATGTCAGAGGCTCGAGTGCTTTTGAGGCGCCTCAAAGGGCGTTCAAGCCAAGTCAGAGGCTCGAGTGCTTTTGAGGCGCCTCAAAGGGCGTTCAAGCCAAGTCAGAGGCTCGAGTGCTTTTGAGGCGCCCCAAAGGGCGTTCAAGCCATGTCAGAGCCTCGAGTGCTTTTGAGGAGCCTCAAAGGGCGTTCAAGCCAAGTCAGAGGCTCGAGTGCTTTTGAGGCGCCTCAAAGGGCGTTCAAGCCAAGTCAGAGGCTCGAGTGCTTTTGAGGCACCTCAAAGGGCGTTCAAGCCAAGTCAGAGGCTCGAATGCTTTTGAGGCGCCTCAAAGGGCGTTCAAGCCAAGTCAGAGGCTCGAGTGCTTTTGAGGCGCCTCAAAGGGCGTTCAAGCCAAGTCAGAGGCTCGAGTGCTTTTGAGGCGCCTCAAAGGGCGTTCAAGCCAAGTCAGAGGCTCGAGTGCTTTTGAGGCGCCTCAAAGGGCGTTCAAGCCAAGTCAGAGGCTCGAGTGCTTTTGAGGCGCCTCAAAGGGCGTTCAAGCCAAGTGAGAGGCTCGAGTGCTTTTGAGGCACCTCAAAGGGCGTTCAAGCCAAGTCAGAGGCTCGAGTGCTTTTGAGGCGCCTCAAAGGGCGTTCAAGCCAAGTCAGAGGCTCGAGTGCTTTTGAGGCGCCCCAAAGGGCGTTCAAGCCAAGTCAGAGGCTCGAGTGCTTTTGAGGAGCCTCTAAGGGCGTTCAAGCCAAGTCAGAGGCTCGAGTGCTTTTGAGGCGCCTCAAAGGGCGTTCAAGCCAAGTCACACGCTCGAGTGCCTTTGAGGCGCCTCAAAGGGCATTCAAGCCAAGTCAGAGGCTTGAGCGCTTTTGAGGCGCCTCAAAGGGCGTTCAAGCCAAGTCAGAGGTTGGACACAATCACACTCGCGACTCGTGCCCCCATGAGTGCTGGACACAATCGCACTCGTCGTGACTCATGCCCCCATGAGTGCTGGACACAATCGCACTCGTAACTCGTGCCCCCATGCTTCTGCCTCCCACTCACCCTATCGTTCCTGATACCAGACAACTTGTGAGGCGCCTCAACGGTCCATAAGCATACCCATGCATGCATCCTTCTCCCATTCACCACATATTCCACACCCCTCTCTCCCTCTTCTCGGATACCAGACAGACACCCCCTGACATGTCCCAGACGGACGTGGGGTCTTGGACGATTTGGTGGAAGGGGAAGGTCAGGTGGCGAAAGGGAAAGGTGTTTTTCCTTGCTGTGTCAAGCTGCAACACGTTCACTCCTTGCCCCGCCCCTTGCCTCGTTGCTTGCCCCGTTTCGGCCTGAGGGAAAGGTGTTTTTCCTTGCTGTGTCAAGCTGCAAGAATTTCACTCCTTGCCCCCTTTCTTGCCCCGCCCCTTGCCCCTCCCCTTGGCCCCTTCACTGCAGACAACCCCGACATGTTTCGAGACTCGAGAGGGGGAGGCCGTGGGGGCAGTGAGGTTGTTTTTGAGGTGCCTCAAAAGCAACACATTCACTCCTTGTCCCCGCTTCTTGCCCCGCTGCTTAACCCCCCTTGCCCCTCCCCTTGTCCCCTCCACTTGTCCCTCCCCTTGTCCCCTCCTCTTGTCCCTCCCCTTGTCCCCTCCTCTTGTCCCTCCCCTTGTCCCCTCCTCTTGTCCCTCCCCTTGTCCCCTCCTCTTGCCCTTCCCCTTGTCCCCTCCTCTTGCCCCTCCCCTTGTCCCCTCCTCTTGCCCCTCCCCTTGTCCCCTCCCCATGTCCCTTCCATTGCAGACAACCCCGACATGTTCCGAGACTCGAGAGGGGGAGGCCGTGGGGGCACGGGAGGCGGAGGGGGAAGAGGAGGGGGAAGGGGGTACGGTGGGGGCGATCCGTATCAGCAGGGAGATGGGGGCGGAGGGGGGTACGGGGGTGGGGGAGGCTATTGGGGTGGTGGTGGGTATGGGGTTGGAGGTGGTGGGGGGAAGGGGGAGGGGAGAGGCGACAAGCAGCAACAGATGATCTTATATTGGAGCGGTTTAGGAAGCGGGAGATAAACCGAGTTATGCGTCGGTAGTGCTGCTTGTGATGCTGGTGCTACTGGTGGTCCAAGGGTGGAGAGGTGGTGTGGGTACAGTGGTGGTGGGGATAGGAGCAGCAGGTAGCAACGAACGATCTTATATCAGAGCGGTTCAGGAAGCGGGAGAGGAACTGAGCCATGCGCCGGTAGCATGTCGCTGCTGCGCCTTGTTGTTGCTACTTCTGCAAGTGCTGCTGCTGTCATTGGGGTGGAGAGTTGAGGTGGGTTGAGTGGTGGTGGAGGCAGGGGCGACAAGCAGCGACGGATGATGTTATATTGGAGCGGTTCAGGAAGCGGGAGAGAAACCGAGTCATGCGCCGGTAGCACTGCTGGTCCTGCTGATGCTGCTTGTGCCGGTGGTGCTAGGGTGGAGAGGTTGGGTGGGTACAGTGGTGGTTGGGACAGTAGCAGCAAGCAGCATCGAACGATGTTATACTGGAGCGGATAAGGAAGCGGGAGAGGAACCGAGTCATGCGCCGGTAGTGTGTACTTTCTGCCCCCACTGCTGGTGCTGCCAGTGCTAGGGTGGAGAGGCGGTGTAGGTACACTGAGTCATGTGCTGGTAGTGCTTCTTGTGGTGCTGTTGCTTCAATGGCTGGGTGGGTGGATACGGTGGTGTGGTGGTGGAGACAGGCGGCAGGCGGCTTCAGATGATTTTGTGTTGGAGAGGAAGTGCCGAGCATGTGTCGATAGTGCTGGTTGTGGTGCGAGGCTGGAAAGGTGGGGCGGATACAATGAGGAATTGTGTCATGCGCCGGTAGTGCTGTTTTTGGTGCTGGTGGTGCTAGGGTGGAGTGGTGGGCAGGTTCAGTGGTGGTAGCGACAGGTTCAGGGGCCCGGCAGGCAGCAACGGATGATCTTGTGTTGGGAAGGTTCTTGGAATGGGAAAGAAACCGAGTCATGTGGCGCGAGCATGTTGGTGCCCCTCCCGTTGCTACTGCTGCTACTGCCAGTGATGCCAGTCCTGGCCTGCTGCTGGTGGTGCTGCCAGTGTAAAGGAGTCGATACATGCCTCAATTGCAACACACCTTTGTTTTCCGTATGTGATGCCTTTTGTGAGCACTGATTAACGGGTACTACTGATGTATGTACATATCTCATGGGTGCACTGTCTAAGGAATTTGATGATAATACGGAAATGCCAAAGGAAAAGAACGTGCAAAAGTAAATCCATACTTGACAAAGCGAGGTCCTTCCTCATGTGTTTATCGCAACTGCCTGACTTGCTTCGCTGGCGCAGTTCTAGAACGTGTGACAGATTTCGCACAGTCTCGAAAATGTTGTTCTAGAGCGATTTTTTCTCAGAGCTCTGTTTCTGACAAGAGGTTAGCCTGGTAGGACACACAATCTCAAAAAAGTAAAAACAAATAAAAGTGGTGTATCAATCCCCACACCTCTTGCATGCTAAGCGAGCGCTCCACCATCTGAGCTACATCCCCGATCATCCGTAAAAATGGTTTAATAAAAATAATATATTTGTTGCTTCCTTGCAAAGCGGTCAGCAACCATGCTGGTGAACAGCTCGGCAGGGAGTGGACGAATTTTAACGGGCGATGCGAAAAAGGAATTTGTTGCCGGTTACCATTTTGCAAGGCCGACATCCCCCAGCATCCCACAAACACACGGACCCACCAAACCCGCCTAGCAGAATGGTCAATTGGGGGTGGGGGAGGCTATTGGGGTGGTGGTGGGTATGGGGTTGGAGGCGGTGGGGGGAAGGGGGAGGGGAGAGGCGACAAGCAGCAACAGATGATCTTATATTGGAGCGGTTTAGGAAGCGGGAGAGAAACCGAGTCATGCGCCGGTAGTGCTGCTTGTGATGCTGGTGCTTCTGGTGGTCCAAGGGTGGAGAGGTGGTGTGGGTACAGTGGTGGTGGGGATAGGAGCAGCAGGCAGCAACGAACGATCTCATATCGGAGCGGTTCAGGAAGCGGGAGAGGAACTGAGCCATGCGCCGGTAGTATGTCGCCGCTGCGCCTTGTTGTTGCTGCTTCTGCAAGTGCTGCTACTGTCATTGGGGTGGAGAGTTGAGGTGGGTTGAGTGGTGGTGGAGGCAGGGGCGACAGGCAGCGTCGGATGATGTTATATTGGAGCGGTTCAGGAAGCGGGAGAGAAACCGAGTCATGCGCCGGTAGCGCTGCTGGTCCTGCTGATGCTGCTTGTGCCGGTGGTGCTAGGGTGGAGAGGTTGGGTGGGTACAGTGGTGGTTGGGACAGTAGCAGCAAGCAGCATCGGATGATGTTCTACTGGAGCGGATAAGGAAGTGGGAGAGGAACCGAGTCATGCGCCGGTAGTGTGTACTTTCTGCCCCCACTGCTGGTGCTGCCAGTGCTAAGGTGGAGAGGCGGTGTAGGTACACTGAGTCATGTGCTGGTAGTGCTTCTTGTGGTGCTGTTGCTTCAATGGCTGGGTGGGTGGATACGGTGGTGTGGTGGTGGAGACAGGCGGCAGGCAGCTTCAGATGATTTTGTGTTGGAGAGGAAGTGCCGAGCATGTGTCGATAGTGCTGGTTGTGGTGCGAGGCTGGAAAGGTGGGGCGGATACAATGAGGAATTGTGTCATGCGCCGGTAGTGCTGTTTTTGGTGCTGGTGGTGCTAGGGTGGAGTGGTGGGCAGGTTCAGTGGTGGTAGCGACAGGTTCAGGGGGCCGGCAGGCAGCAACGGATGATCTTGTGTTAGGAAGGTTCTTGGAATGGGAAAGAAACCGAGTCATGTGGCGCGAGCATGTTGGTGCCCCTCCCGTTGCTACTGCTGCTACTGCGAGTGATGCCAGTCGTGGCCTGCTGCTAGTGGTGCTGCTAGTGAGAAGGAGCCGATACATGCCTCAATTGCAACACACCTTTGTTTTCCGTATGTGATGCCTTTTGTGAGCGCTGATTAACGGGTACTACTGATGTATGTACATATCTCATGGGTGCACTGTCTAAGGAATTTGATGATAATACAGAAATGCCAAAAGAAAAGAACGTGCAAAAGCAAATCCATACTTGACAAAGCGAGGTCCTTCCTCCTGTGTTTATCGCAACTGCCTGACTTGGTTCGCTGGCGTAGTTCTAGAACGTGTGACAGATTTCGCACGGTCTTGAAAATGTTGTTCTACAGCGATTTTTTCTCAGGGCTCTATTTCTGACAAAGAGGTACGCACTGAGCTCTATTTCTGACAAGAGGTTAGCCTGGTAGGACACACAATCTCAAAAAGGTAACAAAGTAAAATCAAATAGAGGTGGGGTATCGATGCCCATACCTCTCGCATGTTAAGCGAGCGCTCTACCATCTGAGCTACATGATTTATTTATATTTACATAATGTTTTGTTTCTTCCCTTGTAGTGGACGAATTTTAACGGGCGATGCGAAAATAGAATTTGTTGCCGGTTACCATTTTGCAAGGCCGACATCCTCCAGCATCCCACAAACACACGGACCCACCAAACCCGCCTAGCAGAATGGTCAATTGCGGGGCGAAACAGGGCTGACTGCAAAATTCTATTACGGCTGGTTCATTTCGCGAAACTAGCTGCGAATTTGTGCAACCATGTAACACTCACGAGTAGGGTTATGGTGGCTGATTTTTGTTTGGGGCCTACGAAACCTTGTACAGATGTGCCTCGGCCAAACAGGGTGTTTGCGTTTTGGCGCGCAGCGCAGGTCGTGGGAAATTCGTGGCAGCTCCGACAATAGATGGATCTGCCATTGCAGTGCACTGTAAGTTTCAAACTTCAGAGAGCGCAAAGCACGCTTAGCGGCGGAATCGGTAACAGGGGGAATGGCGCAGGGCATGGGAGGGCGGGGAGAAGGGCGAAAGCGGGAACGGGCCCGTATGGTGTATCACCATGAGCAGACTCATCCCAAAAATGGGGGGGCTCAAAAAGTATGGTGTTGAGGAGTATGACTGGAGTAACAAATTAACCGAGTGGGAAAACATACTTTCGACGCGTCGCGTCGAAACGAGATCAGCCCAGGCAGCTTCGGAATTCTCGGATGTGCTTTGGGCAGCTTAGCTGTCAGCTTCGCAACTCCCCCCATTGGCCGAGCGGCTTGGTTTTCAGGTTCCGCTGCACATTTCGGCTTCGGGAGCTGTGAGGGAGGCCAGGAACCGGGCGCTGGTGACCCATTGGCTGTAGGTCTCGACCCAATCTGCTGTGTTGGCGCGGAAGAAACTGTAATATCATAACATAGTGTGTAGACACTCATTGTGGAATTGTTATGTTCCATATGTAAGAGGTTTTTATAAAGTACCACATGAGTTATTGTATTAAGTATTTATCTACTCCATTCGTACTATATCGGGCTCTTGATTTGAAAAAAAATATATGAAATTGAGTGTGCAAAGCTTTGTGTTTGTTGTACTACCACTCCATATTAATTAGAATCTACATAATCAACGCCTTTTGTAGGGTCGTTAGCCAATTTCATCCTTCACATTCTACAACCGAGAGCAATTATAGCATAGCATCATTGTCTACGATGCAACATAGCGATTGAGAATGAAGGTTGGCCGATCCCGGTATGATCGCACAATATGGACGGAGCGCAAAATGGACCGTGCGTCAATTACATAGTGTCGGAGATGCACATCCCTCAGTTTGAGCTTCACGCAAGAAGTCTTCTCGTCCACCTCACGCGTCTCATACAAACGCACGTACGCCAGCGCTGTGGGCTCACCATCCTCTCGTCGCGTGCTTATATGGAAAAACATGAGCAGGTCTGCATATGTTGTGATGTTCTCCTGCTTCCCGAATGGGTCTGTAACGGTCTGAAGTATGGCAACACGTGAAAATGCGGGTGACCCATGGAAGCTAGGTGTCACGCGAACGTAGTGCGCCTCCCTCTCTCCGCTTGCTGGAATGGCAAGAGCCGAATGGACCTGGAAGGAAGAGATGCACAACCCCTTTGAAGGAATGGAATGACACATGTGCATGGCATCAATCATGGTTGAGCATACACGCATTTTGTACAACCATGGCAGACACGCACTCTGTACAAGCAGCACACACACACACACACATACACATACACACATACACACACATACACACACACATACACACACACATCTACACACATACACATGCACACATACACAAACTTTATACAATCAGCACCAACAGACACACATTGTGCAACTTGCCACACACACATTCATCCAGCACACACACACTCTATACAACCCACACACACACACATGCACGCCGATCTCACTCTAAAACCAGTACACACGCACAGTACGTACAAGCAGCATACACACACACTCTGAACAACCGACATATACACACACACACAATCTTTGTATACAACTAGCACACACCCACACACTCTGTACAAACAGCATACTCACATACACTCTGTTTAACCAGCACATGCACACACTTTGTACATCCACTAGTCCCACACCCACCCACTCTGGCCAACCAGCACACCCACAGCTACACACTATTCACCCAGCGCATGCACACACTTCGTACAACCAGCACACACACACTCACTTTACTGAACCAGCACACACATACACGTACACTCTGTATAACCAGCCGACATACACACACATATACACTCTGTACAACCAGCGCACACACGGACACACTCTTTACAACCCGCACATACACACACACTTCTTTCCACACACACACACACAAACACACACACATATACACAC